TTACACCAACTGACTCAGTTCAGCATACATTTGAAAAGACATCTAATATAATTCTATCGTATATATGTTTTCACCACTAGACCCTAAAGTTGTGGTCAGCATTAGTCGAAAGTACGATGCACTAATTGTTAACCGGAACCCACACGTGCGAATGTAATATTTTAGAAAGTACTGCCATAAAAATATTTTAGAAAAATAGAAAGATGAAGTTTGGTTTAATAAAGAGAAACGTTGAAGTAAGATACTCATGTATTTTTCACCGTCAAGACACTATTTCTAAGAGTTATATTGTTTATATTTATGTTTTTGGTATTTATATTAACAAAACTGTCATGGGTTTTCTGATTTGTAGTAAAACAAGTCTTCTGAAATATTTAAAACATTTCATTTTTTACGGTCTAATTATCTAGTAACTTGTATTTCAAAACACATAGTACTAGTTTAAGATAATACTATTTATTATATACTAGCTTGTGCCCGCGGCTCCGGTCGCCAATGTGTCGGTTATCGGTAAAATGCTAAGCCTATGTTACTCGCCAATAATGTAGCTTTCCATAGGTAAAAGAATTTTCAAAATCGGTTTAGTGGTTTATGCGTGAAAGCGTAAAAAACAAACAAAGATACTGACTTTCACATTTATAGGTATTGAAGTATAGATGTGTATTTTATGTATGCATTTGTACTCCAAATGGCCTCTCCTTAAAAAGGAAGTTTTGGCCTACTATACCACGCTGGCCAGACTGGTTGATATAGGGTTTGTGTCAAATTTTCCTTCTCTTTACGACACTCACAGGATGAATAGGGATGGTGACACTCCGTATTCTTACTGTCACCACACGGAAATTTTGATAGCTAATGCTTGTTATGTTTCAAACAGCCACTAAGAATAGATTTTTGGAAACTTCACCCCTAAGGTGGTAAACTAAGGGGTAAACGTTTGTATGAAAGTTACTCATTTTTTAAGTTAGAACCACGTAATAAAAAATAATTCCGCGAACGAAGCTGCGTACAAATTAATCATTTGAGTACAACTTAAATATCGATTGTCTCATATAGCAGACTTAACAATGTTATGCTTTATTTGCACTCAATTGTGTATACTTGTCAAACAGTGAGATAATCACCTTCTAATGTTTGTGTGAATAATTGTTAAGAAACCTGTTGATTGGCAACATTTTAGCAGACTAATAATAAAACTGTCAGGATTTCTGTTGCGACTGTAGTGTGTTCAACTACTATGCCTTCGCATCGGTGACGCAGTTTCCATTCCCGTTCCGTCATTATTATATTTTTATAAATCTCCCTTTGACGTGGGGCACTTTGCAAAACTTTATGAAAAGATAAAGAGAAGCCAAGACTCAGAACAACAATTTGTAGATCACACAGTGTTGTCCTATGTGGGGATTGAACCCACAACACTGAGCGCAGTAGGAAGCAGTGAGATGACTGCTTAAGCCATCCGTGCAGTTATTATTATTATTTTTATGCATAAATAGGTCTATATATATTGGTCAGTTTCAGGGACCTTTCAAAATATTCATCTGAGGTAAACCATCTTATATCTTACTCGAGGGGCTCGTGGGTACGTTGTAACCAATTAGGTTACCACATTGCATAGTTAAGCAATCCTAGCCAGGTCAGTCCATCGATGGGTGACTGTTCTTAACAAATTGAGACCCCTTTGTGCCTCGGAGAGTACGTCAGGGTTTCAGTTGCAATGCAAATATCTGTAGCAATCGTTACGGGTAGCTGGAGACCTAAAAAGTGTGACGATAGTCTTTTTACAGAACTTCGATATCGCCCAGTGGGTTGTGGTGGTCTGATACTGATAGGATAGGATCTTTAGAAAAATCAATGTTCAGCTGTATCGTATCGGCTTCAAGTCTAAAGCCGACCCCAACCTAGTTTGGAAAACGGCTCGCAGGATATGCAAGACGCATCTCTGTGTGTGCCATATATACTAAAAATATAACGGTGGTCCGTTTCTGTTCATTATTCTTATAACTTTGAATACAGCCGTTTGATCTCATCCCAGGCAGGGCCTGAGCTGTATAAGAGATTGACGAGCAGACGGGTTACCTAATGTGTATTGATAACCCTGCGTCGCGTTAGAGCCGATTAAGGAAGATAGCTATAGAGAACAACAGCACTGCAAAAAAGAAGGAAATCTTGATACGTCTATCCAGCGTGGTATAGTACGCCAACACCTGCTTTCTAAGGAGAGGTCTATGTCCACCAGTGGACTATTGAAGGCTGTTGACGATTACTAAACATATCCATACTAATATTATAAATGTGAAAGTGTATCTGTCTGTATGTCTTTCTGTTGGCACTTTCCTAACCGCTGAACCGATTTAGATTAATTATCGTACAGAGATCGTCCGAGTCCCGGGAAAGGATAGTTTAGTTTTATCTCAGAAGTCATTCTTTGAGGCGGTAAAAAGGGGGGTGGAAGTTTGGATGAGGAATCAAGAACCGAGTTAGATGAAATTTGGTGTGAAGATATTTTTATTCTTGAGAAAAGACACAGGCTACTTTTATATATATATAACATTTAGACGGGAGGAGTCGCGGGAAAATTCTAGTTATTGATAAATTACAACCACATTGTGTCAAAGGACCTATGAAGGATCCGAACGTACGTCCTTGCAGTTATGAATCATCACCACTAGATAACAGGCCTTGCTTAACACATTTTATTTATAAGAAACATTATAACAAATGCAATGTACTGCCCGTCAACCTATGATTCATACCAGTCTTGCGACATCACTACTTGAAAGGATACGAGCAGTCAGCCTGTGACCACGGCCGGTGCAACCTGGTCGAAACGTCAGGCAAACCAGAGGTATGTAATACCCTAAATAAGAGATCGCGTTAATTCCCGTTAAATAATATTAATTATCATGGAACGCGAAAGTTTAAAAGTTAGTATAGGATACGAGCAATAAAAGTGCATATATACTAGATTTTCCCCGCGGCTCCGCCCATGTATGTCGGTTATCGCGGTAAAAGTAGCCTATGTTACTCGCTGATAATATAGCTTTTCGTTGGTGAAATAATTTTTTAAATCGGTTAGTGGTTTAGGTGTCCGTGTGGTGACGGATTAAGAATACGGAGTGTCACCACCCTTATTCATCCCGTCGGTGTCGTAAGAATTGATTACGGGAGCAAACTATTCAGGAAAACAAAGAAAAGGAAAACTTGACAAAAACCCTATACAAACCCGTCTGGCCAGCGTGGTATAGTAGGCCAAAACCTCCTCTCTAAGGAGAGGCACATGTCCAGCAGTGGACACTTAAAGGCTGTTGATGATGATGATGATGATGGTTTAGTTGTGAATGTTTAAGAAACAAACCAACATACTCACTTCAAAATTTATAATATAAGTATGGATTTTAAAACGATGAATACATGCAGCAACTGAAGTTAATGTCCCGCAACGGATGTCGTCACTCTAGCGATTATATAGCGAGAGATTGTCACCGAAGGTTTCGATAAATATTGGGTAATTCTGCTACTGGGTACTACAGTATGCTTGTCAAGGATCAATAAGGTATTAATATAAAATATTTACATATTACTATCGTGAAATTAATTTAAGAAGTACATTTTGACAGATGAGTAAGTTACAGAACGTAACTTTATACGATGCCAGCAAAACATAAAATATGTGTCGGCCTATGTCGTGCGGTGTTCCCCAGGGGTCAGTGCTTGGGCCCGTCTGTGGAACATAGGATACGACTGGGCCATTCGAGCTGATTTTTGGCTGTAATTTCTTACGACGATGATACTTTGGTCACAGCCCGGGGGGCGATCTTTCAAGAGGCAGCGAACCTGGCCACCAGGGGAGTCGCTTTGGTGGTCGGGCGCATTGAGGCGCTGGGCTTACGGGTGGCCCTGGATAAGACAAAGGCCCTCTTATTTCATTGGCCGCGTCATCTTGCTTCCTCTGGCGCCTTAATCGTTATCAACTCGGTCCTCGTACCGGTTCAGGTCCAGATGAAGTGTCTGTGCTCGATCCTCGACGGAAGGTGGCCTTCGAAGAGCACTTCCCACAGCTTGCTCCAAAGTTGGTCGGTGCTGCATCTGCCCTTGGGCGACTTTTGCCTGGATATACACGGGGGTCGTCCGGTCAATGGCACTATACGGTGTACCAGTGTAGGTGGCAGCTCTGACCGTCCAAAATAGGGCGCGCCTTTGGCGCCCTCAAAGGGTATTGGCGAAAGAAGAAGTACGCGAGTGTTTTGAGGCCGCTCATCGAGCCACAATGGCTTGTGAATCGTTCCGGTTGAAGGTTCCACGTCCTCGTTTTGCCACCGTGTTGGCGCTCCAGGCAGTCATCGTTAAATGGACAGGGCGGCAGTACAGGACAGTAGTGATAGTTGTTTTACCGCGGTCGCATCCTTCTGCGAAGACGCCACCTCACGAGGACGGCGCAAAAGGGCCCGTGAGGATGCTACTCGGACCCAATTCGCTGCCGATGAACCGGGCGGGCATTGGAGGCGCGCCTGCCTCGTACGTTTCCGACGAATTATTTTAAATCTATCCACAATATCATAACTGACGCTCAAAATGACCTCAATATTCTTAACGAATGGTTACAATATAATCTTCTTACCATAAACACATCAAAAACATCATTTACGATTTTCGAGACAAAAAAAAACATATACCAGACTTTACACCACATACAATAAATAATGACATAATTAAACGGTCTCATCATCATCACACAATTATTTGTCCTGGGTGGGAATCGAACCCCAAAAATATATACAATCCAAATACGTTATTTTGTTAATGAAGGTAACACAAGCACTGACACAGAACAAAGACTTTTGTTCATCATGCTATATTACACGCTAATATGCCGTTGCAACTCCTGTGACGTCAACAAATACTGTGTCTTCTCAGACTGTCTTCTTTGCGTAGACTCACAACAGATTTTTGGTTACTAGCCCTAAGGTAAAAGTGTACCAATTTACATAGGTACTTACCCGCCTCGCTTTATCACTTTCGCTGTAGTCCACAGGTTGGCACGACAAGCTATAGTCACCCCACCACCCTGCCGCCAGGTGCTGCAGACAAATATACAAGTATTAAAAAAAAACAATTGGTACTGGGACTGAATTATGCTTAATGTATTGGAGAGGACGTCGGCGGCGATACTAGCCATCGACGGGGCCGCGGGCCTTCAGACCTTTGGGGAACTCTGGTGTCACATTAATTGCATCGGTATCGGATAGCAGCCTGATCGCGTTATCTTCCGCGAGAAGTCTTTTCCCCCGGATAGGACCTGATTAGTCGTGGTGTCGATTCGGCGAGGACCTGAAATCACATGGCCTGTGTCCTCTCCAAGTAGGCCGCCTGAGATTTTCCACCAGAAAACAAAAAATAGGGGGAAATATTGTTCGATTTTCACTAGCTAACTCTGCGATTTCTTAGGATATTGTCATTCGAACGTGGTTCAAACTATTCTGTTGTCATTAATATACGTGTCCGCATATTAATTAAAAGCTGTCGTGCGACTGCTCATGAACACGCATGAACACGAAACTCGCGCAGCTTGACCGTCGCAGAGGGTTGTCTTACGTGATCACGTGCAAAGTCACGGGATTCGTTTATTTTGCTTTGGATAACCAGATCATAGGACGAATGGCTCAACTGAAAACGGTGCTTTCTCATAAGATACATAAAAGAAAACTATATTTGTGTTTACTATTGACTTTTACATATTGCTAAAATTATAAGATTGTTTTGTTTTAATTTTAACTTTTATGCCAATAGAGGTAGAATAATCGTCAATCTAGGAAGTCTTTCAAAAGACGGATCTAAATAATTATCACTACCTATGCCACACCTTCTAAATTTGTTGTACGGAATAAGTAAGAATAGTTAAGGCAAGTTTGAACATCGTACGGATCGTAGGAATTAAGCACTTAAATATCTGATTATCAAATTTCTTATTTGCCACTCTCTAGACGAAATTTTAGTTCATGCGGGCCGGTGCAATCATACGCTCTGTTTTACATACGTGAATAGCGAAAATGTTACGTCGTACCGTATTCGTATACCGTATATAATTATTATAATTATTCAGCTTTTTTTATCAATAAAATCGAGTATTAATATTATTTTCGTGACCGTATTCTTAAGATAAATATATTCTTTAGATATATAATAGCGTAAATAAATACGTATCTTCGAATTCTTGCTGTGGCCAAAAACAAGGTCGCCATATTTTTTAATTACAGTTTTTATCGGTCTCTATATCAATGCACCGGAACCAAATGGTTATTACAAGGTGAACTACTGGTATTTTAAAGTATTCCGTATTTTGTAGTGTTATATAAGTTGGGTTGGTGCATTGACCTTTTTGTAGTCAGTTTATTAGTTTAATATCAATGATGTTATTCACGATGACAAGATTTTTTTTTCAACGGATTTGATGTTTAATAAAGTATGTGAGATATTTATGTACAGTTTAATGGTATTATGACGGGCATGTTGATCTAGTGGTTAGTGAATCTGACTGCTAAGCTAGAGGTTGTGGGTTCGATTCTACTCAGGACAAATAATTGTGTGAAGATCATTTATTCTGTATCTGGGTGTAATGGTAAAATTCACTTTTTGTTCTTAATAACGGACATACTAGCACACGTCAAAATAATGTTGTGGTATATTTAATAGTGCCATTGTATCTATCTGTGAATTGCAAAAGAGTGGCCATGAGTTTGTTTGCCCTTTCTTCTCATAAGGCTCAACCCCTTGGAAACGGGCGGTTGTAGATCGGCACAGGCATATCATAGATTTTGTATGGGTTTGATTTTTTTTTAATTTATTTGGTTACTATTTGACAAAACAGAGATTGTTGCTTTTGTGTGTGTTGATCTATGACTTTAGAGTCTACATGGAAGACGATTTCAAACAATTTTGGAAATTTTATGAAATAAAGAAAGTTTGAGTTTGACTTTGAATGTATGTAGAAATATATAAGTATGTTTCTATGTATCAACAGTCTGGTTGCTATGAAATAGCAACACATTACCATGAACCAGTTTGGATCGGAATCAAAAACAGCGACGAGGTAACCGCTGAAACTACTGCCACGCCATCCATGCAGTCAAAATGATTCTTGCAACTATTTTATTCTATTATTAAAACTCCAAATAATGCAAGTGAATTATTCGGTTGGGACTACATTTTCAGCATAACACAGAACGTATTGAAATGACTACCTCAGTGATGCAGTGGTAGCGTATGCGACTGCTGTGCTGAACCAAATATTTGTATGATCTGCAAATATTTGTTTTGGAGTTTCGGTATTTATTATGTATAATTAGTATGTATTTACAAAAAAAAGTATAAAAGTATTCTATCAGTCAATCTAGTGTTCATAGTACATCATCATCATCATCAACAACCTTTACTAGTCCACTGCTGGACATAGGCCTCTCCTTAGAAAGGAGGGTTTGGCCTACTACGCCACGCTGGCCGGGTTGATATAGGGTTTGGGTCAAGTTTTCCTTCTCCCTGCAGTGCTGTTGTCCTGCGTAGTTTGCTCCCTCAGTCGCCTCTTACGACACCCACGGGATGTATAGAGGTGGTGACACTCTGTATTCTTAATCCGTTACCACACGGACATAGTATAGTCAGACGGTTATAGTACAAGCTCTGCTTAGTTTGAAACTAGATGGCGTTGTATGTCAGATGTCCGAAACATTATTATTATTATTATTGAGCTTGTAGTTCGCGGTTCATTTGTTGGACTAACGCAACATTTAGTAACGCATAGCAGTTGTCGCGCAAATCTAAGTTTGATAATAGAATTTCTTAACAGTAGTTAAAAAAAAAAAATGGAACTCTTTTGCGACACTTCTTACAACAAAATACCTTTTAATTGAAAGCTGTCAATTGATTAAGTAAAACTCTAGGTAGTCAATAAACCGCTTTATTGGTATTTTACCTTCTCGTTAGAAAAACCTTTATTTCACTATTCATTTTACCTTGAGGGAACACCACCACCACCTTGGGGGAAGCCTAGCCTGGACTTGCGTATTCATCTTTTCTTAGAGTACCCGCCGCCCGCACCTCTACCAGTCCCCGTTTTCGTCTTAATGCCCCTGAATCACTCAGGCGAGGACTCAATTAAGTGGTTCATCTAAAATGCTTATTGTTTTCTTTTAAAATTGTAGAGGGACATTAGAGCTCAATGAATTACGTTCATTTGAAGCAAGTTAACAAACTTACTTGTAATGAACGTAACTCTAGCACCGTTGTGTTTATTATATAATTTGAGTCTGTTCATTGTTGGTAAGTAACTGCATCACTTAGACATTCAAAAGAACCTACATAGCACCAGTCACATGCGTACTTTAATCTCCAACACAGAGTACTAAGTTTTAGCTCAGAAAGCTAGCTAAGTTCTAGCAAGTTCATAAACCTTAGTATAGCATTGAAGATTTTGTCAAATAACAAGGCTGATTTACAAGATTTGCTCTTTCTTATTTTAACACGCTTTTATTAGCTTGGTATGTATGTATGCTAGGTATGTATGTTATCTGTGTAGTCAAGGATTACGAATACGGAATGTCACTACCCCAATTCATCCCGTGGGTGTCGTAAGGGCGCAAAACAACGCAGGACACCAGCACTGCAAAAAAAAAGGAAAACTTGACACAAACCCTATAGCAACCCGTCTGGCCAGCGTGGTATAGTAGGCCAAAACCTCCTTTCTAAGGAGAGGCCTATGTCCAGCAGTGGACTATTAAAGGCTGTTGATGTGATGTGATATATGTATGTGTATATGTAACGGAATCTTCGAACGTGTTTTTGATCCACTTTAAAATGTCGAATTAAATTCGAACCTTATCAAGGACCGATGCCAATACAATAATTTGATAACTTTTATCGATTATCCTGATCAGTATCTTCAGGATTAATGGCTTTATCAGTATCAGTCAGTATTTTGATACGTAGTAAGAGGCGTGTTCTGAAGCATATGTGGCGTACTTACTTGTTACTTTTTTAGTATTCATGAGAAAATAATCATCATTAATGACTAAAAAAGCACAACTAATTATAGTTTAAAAACTAAAAAACACGCCTTTGTAACAAGCGGAACTAAAAAGTAGAAAATAATTTTCTATAAGTTCAAAAAGTAAATCATTGGGTCACAATATTTTCAAGATGTTTTTAATAAAATAACTTTACTTTTACCAATCTGACAATAAAATATTTTTACAACAATTTAGATCTGGCAACCCACACATTTATACGATAAAATGATTTTTCATTTACTAATACTTACTATTTAATTCGGTTAGTTACAAAAGCGTATTTTTTTGTTTTTTTTTTTAAACTATTATTTATTTAAATAAACTAATAACGTATCTCATCTTAATTGTAACCCAACATTAAATAGATATGAAAGAAGCTTGACTGAATTTATTAAGGCTTCTTCCTGGAAGCCTCCGTATGAGCCTAAAAAATACCGGATCAAAATAATCGTTTCCTTTCAACGAAAAAAAAATACATTTTCCTTACTTTAGCTCAATATTAAAAAAATCTTGAGAATTTGTGATTTCCCAACACACACAAAAATCATCTTTTAGTTTATGTAAAAATGAGCATTTGTTTCTTCAAAGCCAGTTCTTGTTGTTTTTCGCATAATTATTAAAGCTGTCGTTTTATGTGAATACTGAGTTGGGAAATAGTTGAGAGGTTTTAATTACCGTTTGTACCTTCATTTTAGATCGGAGTAATGATATTTTGATTTGATTATCTTCATTAGATAACGCTCTAATTATTAAGGACTAGCAAAACTACTCACGTAATTTTGGATATTATACTTTATCAATCATGTTTCATACACAAACATAATACTGTTTCCAAAAGATAGTAGTTTTATAACTATAGTAACTAAGTTGGTTCTTTTCGTTACACTTTTACACTAAAACTTTAGGAGTACTGAAATATACTTATAGCACGATTTAGCTCGAAATAAATCTGTTACATCAACCATATAAAAAAAGTATGAATCATGATAACACTCAATCACTTTTTCCTCTACAAGCAA